TGTTGCTGTTGTTGTTGTTGTTGCTGTTGTTGTTGCTGCTGTTGTTGTGAAAACACAGGACTATGGAATCTATCTCATAATATCATCTTTCTCATGATTTATTTATTTCTCGCGATAACATCGTTCTCGTAATAAATTATTAAGATGGAGGTTGTATTAGTAGTTATCATGCAGTGATTGTTTGTTATCTGTATTTTAGCTCATCATTCAGGGTGTTAGTCGTGGAATCCCAAGTGAAATTACATTGGACGATATACAAATCAAACCTGAACGTTTTTGTATTGGTGAGTTTTTGAGTTCCTTAGTGGCGTTTTTAGTAAGAGGGTTAGGGCCAGGAAAGCCTCATGTTATTCTGCGGCAGAGCAAAAAGTGACAAACTTTATGGTTTTAGTCGTCCTTGAATTTACTGCCGTTCAAATTCAAGACGAAATGCATTGTATTCCCTGTTGTGACTCTTTTAAGAGGTATTTTTGTGGGGCAAGGCTTTATTTTCCTTTCCAGAATTTCGAACTCGTTTACCACTGTTTTCATTGCTACGCGCTGATCAAAACAGCACGCAGTCACCACAGGGAAATCGGGCAATACACTGCCGCCAATCAATAAATGTAAAGGTGACGAATTTCCTTTGATTGACGGCACTGATTTTCTTTTTGCGACAGCTGTGTGCATCAGCGTTCAGCGAAGGCCTCTTATAAGGGAATGTATTCCAGCAAAAGAGACAGTGTGAAAATTTCTTTCGCGACTTGATTTACACTGCAGAACCTAATTTTCTTGACCGTATTCGATAGGGGAATAATGTTCAACAAGAAATTTCAAGCCAAGCTACAATACTGCTGCCTAGTATTTTACACACACCCCTAGGGGGTAGGGCTATGTCCAAAAACATGGCTGTGGATGGTGTACAGTTGACATCCAAATCTGCCCTCATCCTCTTCCATCCTGCACGATAGAAGAAAACTATTTATCTTCGCAGATAGCCAGAGCTCCCAAGTCGATGAAACGTTTTATTTGGGGCTCGCAGCTTATGTACAGGCCTAGATATTAAAGACTTTCTCCGATGAGTGCTTGCTTATTCATCACGTATTAAAGAATACAGTGTTAGTGACGTTTTTWAACTGTTTTTAGGTTTATGTTCGTCGCTGGGTCCTCTGCAAGGTTCCAGTAGTATTCATGATGGTCCACTCACTCCTTGGCAAGCAAGTTGTCGTGGCGTCTCCTCCTCCTCCTCCTCCTCCTCTTCCACTCTCACGTCTATCGTAACAGGTCTATGGGACAAACAGGGAAGCCATTTTCAAACCCTTGAGTATCTCAAGTGTTGTAACATGCCGGTGAATACGTACTACAAGATTCTTTTAACTGGTAAAGAAGGAGGATCTGCGTCAGAGAATGAACGATGGAATGCACAGTGCAAGGATAATTACGTCTTAACAGGTAAGAATGCATCACGAAAAACACAAAACACTATCTCTTCCCGCAATAGAGGTTTTGCACCAACACGTGCGGGCTGCTATTTTAGATGACAGGGCCTGGTTGTACGAAGACTGGATAGCGCAATCCGACAGATAAATCTTATCCAGTGAATAAATTGGCAACAGCATCGACTTATCCACTGGATAAGGATTTATCCGTCGAATAGCGCTATTCACACGCTATTCGTACAACCGGGCCCAGAACAATAATATGGAGTTTATTTCTTTCTCATGTAAAATAGCTGCCGTCACGTGATGGTGCAAACAATCTATTGCTTGAAAAAAACACGGGTTAGCAAGTTTAGGACCGGGATGGGTGACCTATTCCTACCAAAGATGTTATTTGTATTTTTCATTTCTTTCCTTTTCTTACTTTGTTTTCTTACTTCTTGTTTATTAACAGGCATTTACAGCCTGAACAAGTTCAATGGTTTTTATCAACTCCAGTGTTCCTCTCTCTACCAGTCTCGTGTTGATTATTCTAACTGCGTAGTGATCTGGGCTGAGGAACGCAATCATGAAGGGGACCCTATCAGTCAACACATTGAGTGCCCTTCAGGGATGGTTGTCATTGGTTTATTTGATCACCAAGGTGACAACAACAGGACGAGCTTCGCCGATATCGATGCAGTAAAGTGCTGCATGGTTGACACTCCCGACTGTGTCACTCAAGCTGATTGTAATATCAATGCTGACTGCGTTACCACAAATACCGTCATGAAATGCTCTTGTAAGACAGGTTTCTATGGCAACGGGAAGGTTTGCAAATCTGTAGTCCCCCCAACATCCACCACGGAGTCCCCTATTACTAAGAAGCAGAATGCAACGACGGATATTCCCGTTAATCCGTCAACACCAACTACAACGTATATAAATCCTGGAGTCGACACCTCAGGGAATGGCCTTGGCTTCTCGACGTCAAGTTCAATATCGAACCGACGACAGCAAAATAGCCAATCAGTTATCTTAATAACTGTGACTGTGGTCGGGATTTTGGTCGCAGTGTTGCTAGGCGTTCTTGTTTGGCGTGTCAGGCGGGCAAAAAAAGCGCGTCTACGAGTGCAGGGAAGCAATACAGCCAAACCAGATCAGGCGGAGATGACTCCTTTCAACGATATTAAGATCATTAATAATGACAACCCTGCACAAGACCAGCAAGGTGGGTCTTGACAAAGTTAGCTTTAAAATATCCCATTGCGCCTTTTGATTGTCCACAAATTCCTTTTTAAAGTTCAGCAAACAGGATGCGTTCAGGTCTAGCTTGGGTACAAACAGCACCATGTAAAGCATGATCAACGAAACATTTTTTATATCCAAACTAGATCACATTGCGTTCTTTTCGCTATCTCACAAAATGCCTATGCATCTTATATCGTACGCAAATTTATCATTTAATTCTGCAAAGAACGTGCGCGATAAGCCTAAAGGCTCGCCGTGATAATACACAGACTCGTAAAAATACACAGCCGTACTAGATGCTTAGCCGACTGATAACCTCTATTTATCATATATATAAAGTTGCCTATTGATCTTAATGCTCTGAGCTAATTAAAATAATGTGATGTTTTGCGGTTGCACCCACCGCTTGATTATTAGCCGCTTTGAGGTGGAGGGGAAAAATCAAGTTGGCGTGCCAGTGCATTTTGTGCCTTTTAAGTGATACATTTCTAAGATGGCGTCGATGCCAACTCGCTCCCAGTTTACTTGAAATCAGGTAGTATTGATTTTGTAGCACTGAATATGTTAATAACAACTATTATAATACACTCTACAGAATTACTGGATTTTGATTGGATAAGAGGAGTACATTTAAATCCCAAATTGTACTCTGTAGAGTCCCAATTTCTGCTCAATCGTTTTGAGTGTATTATAAACAAAAAATCGCACAATCTTCTCGTACAATTCGGAATTTATAGATACTCGTGATGTTTTGAAAGTTCTCAAATTGAACTCGCCTAAAAGGCTCATCCAATCTCGAAAACTTTCAAAACATCACTCGTACCTAAAAATTCCGAATTGCACATATATACATTATGTATATATTATTTATTTTTAGTTACAAGTTCTCATTTGGCTGTAGTAGGTGAAGAAGACGATTCTTCGCGTGCACCGAATAATCCCCATCAAAACGACAACAGCAAGGTATCTATGGAATTCTCATCAT